TGTGCCTCTTTGTCGCTCGTTCCGCGCTCTCGCTTGCACTTCAAGCCTTAAATGGAACGCCTCAGAGCGAGGTAACGCCGCATGAGTCATGTTTTTTCGTGCGTGCAGCCGGCTCCATCGAATTATAAGACGTTGTCACGTCAAAAAATCGGATAATACTGTTTTGTGTAAAATTATTGAGTGAGATTCATGTAGTGAAGTATCGGGAACCCCTGCTATGTTATTATTATTAATCATCAAAGTAAACAGGAACAATTTTGCGATTGCGACGGAAGTTAAGATAGCATTTAAACTGGAACTGTTATCAGTAGATAGATGTACAGATAATTCAACAATTTAATCGCAAGGCAGATGTTGCCGATGCATCACGGAGTTGTTTTAATAGGTGGCTGGGCGCACAGAAAGGGCGTCCCGACGCTATTTAAGCGCGGAAACATCGTAACTCTATCACATCACATCGCGTCGCGACGTCAGGCATCGGTTCCATTCACGTACTCGCTGTTGCACTACGACGCTTGAAACGCATAATAAACAAAACTTCTACCTACCACCATTATCTTACATTCATTCGTGATCATTTACTTGAATAAAATCATCGATCTTTTTTGCCATGTTTTTCTCGAAAGTTTTTGTTCTCGTACTTTCTTACTCCTGCCTCTGGGTGCTTGTCTTCGGACGCATTTCATTGTTGCGACTCGATGAAAATTACATCCCAAATCTTAAGGTAATCGTTTTTTACTTATTAAACACTTTAAATAAATCTGAATTAATATATAGAATGGGCGACGACAATTAAAATCATTTTTAAAAAGAGTTATTAAGTTTTAAATATTTCCCATATTGAGGGTGTGACTGTGGTGAGAGTTTTTGAAACATAAGTTGGTGAAAGCCCCTGAAACATAAATTAAGATGATTTTGGAATTTATTCATAAAAGATAAGACACAACTGTAGAATTTGAATAAAAATAAAAATTAAGATACTTCTACGAAAACGATTGAAGGTTTTGTTTGGTTTATAGCTTTCGATAGATTTTCAAGTAAAGAATTTTTTTTGTTCTAGAGTTTTAATAGAATGTGAGTAATTAGAAAAGATAAGGGTTCCCTTGTCCGTAAAGCTTGATGATAAAGCGTTTATGTTATTCTGTTGTGGAATATTTGCTAATGTTAATATTTTAATAAAGTTTGTTTGATTAACTTGTAATATCATTATTTGCATTGGCTTGACATCCGTGTAATGTCCCTCGCCGTTCTTTAATTTGGTCGTAAAAAATTAGTTCCATTAAGTTTTTCTTAGCCTGCTAGTGAAACAAAATTTCGGTTCTTTTCTTTTTCAACTATAGAACGAATTTATTATCAAGTATTAGCATTTTTCAGCGAAATTTTCCGATTATTCCATTTTAAAAATACTTGTATCTATATCAAATTGTGCAAACCAAATATTTAAGTAATCAGATTATAATCAGTGAGTCAAGGAGAGCAGTTTTGGTATCCCCCAGATATGACATGTCGTTCTACTAATGAGTTTATTTAGTTCAGTAGTGAAGGAAATTCCCCTATGACTTGAAACAAATTAATCTTTATCCGTTTTTACCACTTTCTATTTATAAAAGTTCCAAAAATATAGTCAGGGATGATGTGTCAAAAGAAAGTAATAACTTGTTTAGATACATTTCTTTAAGGTCTATCAAAAACTCTGACCAGTTCTATATCATTCTTTTTATCGAATAAAATTGTGGATATCGACAACACTAAAGCTTAGACAAATATGCAGACCTTTCTTAAAATTAAAAGTGGCTTTAATAGATCAAAGAATCAAATCCAATAGACTTGTTTTAGGCAAGGCAAAAGGAACGAACATATTTGCAAGGATTTAAACATAATTTCAGCCTGTGGGTACGTTAATTTGTTGCAATCGGAAATAGATTTACTCGAATTTGCCACAAAAATGGTTAAGTTCTGATTGTATATTGGTTTGCTTGTGCTAAACTTTTTTGATAATTTTTTTTTCATAAAAATTTCGCCACAAATATTTTGAGTAGGTATTTTGCTTTCTTTAGTAAAACAAATAAAAGCTGCTATTACTGTTTGCTTTTAATCTCTCTCCATTAATAATAAATTTGATTGAACGTTTACTTTATATTATAAAGGAGGAAGACCCTAATACTGGAACAATATTTTATAGAATAAATTTTTCTCTGCAACATTTCTAGTTAGAGACAAATTATTAACTGTTATATTTTCTGATTTGTATACAGTGCAAAGTTTATGTTAGTTTTTGCATTATTTATATCCTTTTAAGGTATAAGAAGGTCATTTCATAGCAGGGATTCCATCAAAGAAAGACTATTTATTAGTCTTCAGATGTCGGTATTAACACCAGAACCGATGGTTTTTCGAACTTTGTCGTTAGTTAAAAGGAATGTTGTGTAAAAAATACCCCACAACCTAGAAGAACCCATAAAAACAGTGCGTGAAAGCTGTTATAAGTTTTTTACCGCACGTAGAAGAAACAAAGAAGAAAAAGGCTAAGATGAAAAGTACTGTGTATTAAACACACGGTAGAGCATAAAGTAAAGCTATAAAGGCCATTCAAATATGGTGACTAACATGAACCTAAATAGCAATTTTCACTTTTCGAGATATGGAATATTTATCAAAGAATCGTGTGAAACTTCTTTAATATAGCTATTGCATTAACTAATTACTAAACATTAGAAAAATACAACATTATTTTGAGCAGACGAATGCAGAATTTTGGTTTAGTTTTGTTAAAAGCTTTTAGGCTTGCGCCATACAAACCTGCAGAGATGAATTACAAATCAAAACAAACAAACACAGACACATACGTAATGCTGCTGACAATTTGTCGAAATTTTCAGATTATGGATTGCTACTAATAGGTCAGCTCTGAAGTCTGTTAAAATGACCCCTTTTGGACGTATCCACCAGGGGTTACACGTGCCGTAACGTGACGCGTGACGCGCGACGTTACACTTTTCCGTTTTATATCCTAGAAAATTTCCTTCCAACCGTCGATAAATAAGTTTCACTTCAAAAAAAGTGACTCCTGAAATACTATAAAATGATTGCCCTTTATTTCGTCTGTTTTAAATATTTTCTCTGTGTATTCCTTTTTGAACAACAAGCAGTTACATTTGTTGCGATGCATGGCTAAGACTTTATAAAACTTTTTACTTACAGAAGACGAAAAGTTTTCCTGACAGCGCTTTATATTTAAACGTTCTCTCAGCAGAAAATCATTTTGAGAGAGACATCTGGTAAACACCTAGTTTAAAAGTTTGAAGAAATTCAAATCTGAAACTTAATTTTATATTCTACGTACTGCAAATCCTTTCGACGCCCTCAGGTGTTGTGTAAATTACTTGATACATGACGATGGTCCCCAAAACAATAAGTCTACAATTAATTGATGTGTATTATAGTAATGAGTTGTGAATAATTTATTGCATGCTAAGTAATTAACTTAATAAATTAAATTCTGTTTTTGGTAAATTCTGGTGAAGGCGCCTGACAGGGCAAAGATAATCGTTACCACATTGTGGTAGTTTATGTCGTAAACAGAGAAGACGATAAATAAATAAGAAAACTTTTTTGTTACAGCCCTATTCAGAGCTGAATATGCTGGATACCGAACAACCCCATAGCATCCTTCCAAGGACGAGACCCAAACGTAACGAAGACCATATAATTTCTGGTAAGATGAGAAAAAACTTTTGTAATAAAATCTCTAGAATAAAACTCTTCATAACAGAAAATAGCTACTTTTGCTGGGTAAACAATGTGAAATATATGACACTGAAACAATTCTGTTCCTTTCTCAAAATATAATAAAAAATAATGTTTTTGCTTATTATAAAATTATTAAGGAAATGAAAAATTCGAATGGGGAAACTACAGGCGTACAGTACAATTAGAATTAATTATTATTTTTGTATAATCTGCGATTGTGAGACTCTATGACTTGGGAAATTTATCTGGGAAAAATTAGATACTATACATGGGCATGAAGGGTAGTTAAGGGTAATAAAAGTGATCTAAATAAGAAATAATGATCATTTAAATCAGCTTACTTAATTTTTATTTCTGTAATAAATAAATGTCAAGACAAGACTTCAGCGATTTTATTCCAGCATATAAAAAGTGCTAACTTTGGTTTCCCTTTTTCCATTCACATATTAGTATTGTAATTTATACATACATAAAATGAAATGAAAAGTGCTACGAACAAAAATATTGAAATTTATGTAAAAGAATTCATTTTTAAAGCAGAAGACATTTATGGTTATTATTTTTGCATATATATATATAATGAAGAAAAGTTGCGACTTCTGCTTTTCGTGTAGATAAAAAAGGTAAAATACGAATTGGGCTCGTCTTTAACATCTACAGGGGGGTTGAGAAATACTCTTTTACTGCTACTTTTACCTAAATCCTTCAAGGAAACGATAACATACGTGGTATTAATGTCACTAATCATAAAAGAAAGTTTATTCAAAGGTAAAATGTGAAACGAAGTAAAAACAATAACTAAAAGTAAATTCTATTTATTGACTAATACGTTTTGATCGATTCTAACTATATATCTCTTTGGTTTTTGTTTTAAAACATGCGTTTTCATATAAATTAAACATTACTACGTATATTGTTGGCGACATGGTGTCCGTAGACAACAAAGTAAACTTTGCTTTCCATTTCATTAATTGTATGGCTCATATATCTTGTCATTTAATTAAAGCTAAAGCAAAACAGGTAACATCGGCAAGGTATTTTACAACAGGATGCTTGGACTTGAATAAAACCTAGTTAAAACATTACATTTCGGAGTTGCACATCAAACACTGCAATTATAAGACAGTGTTTATTATACCAGTTGATGGACCCTATAAACATAAACTCACTATAGTTGGGATGATTAAAATTGGCAAAGTCTGCCATAAATTGTCTGTGAGAATGGACGTATCTTTTTTTTTTGTTTCTACATCGGATTGAAAGTTAGAAAATGCTTCATGAGTAGTATAGACAACTTAAAAAGAGATAACCGAATAATAGTAAGCAGTGCAGCGGTTAGAGGTTGCTAAGGTACGTAAAAGATCAGGGTCGGCTTTATATATATAACGCCCGGTTGGAATTATTTCTTTAAACAAGCGTTTTTGCTTTCCTAAATTCCTGAGAATGTTGAACTTTCTTTAAAGTCCGATACTGGCAACTTGCTCAAATTCTGCTTGTTTACATCTCTTTCTGTTACATATCAATTGATGTGACGTTATTCTCTTTTGTTTATTAGCGTCCGCTGCAATTCCTATCTGGCATCTCTTTTCTATACTCACGATATTCCTTACAAAACGTTTGTCGTGAATAAAAATAGGCGTTCTGTCAGCAACCGTTCGAGAATAGTTAATAAGTTGAAAGAAGAAAGAAAATGGGACAGTATTATTGGGGACTATGCCAATTTTGAACGCTCCAACTATACTATCATTATCGCTATAGCATGTTTAGGATTATAATGGATTTCGGAAATTAATCTGTAATAATAATTTTGTCAGTACATGACCTTTTGTTAACAGTCTGTATTGCACTTGCACAAGAAAATCAGAATTGAACGTTCATTGAACGTACTGAGGAAATGCTTTACGAAATGAAAACTGCGGAAAATATAAAAGAGAATCAATTTCCACTGAAAAATCCATTTATTCCGGTAATATAATACAATCTGGTAATCTAAACCTCGATCAGGACCAGCTTTTGATATGAAAAAAAAGAAAGTTAACGATGTTCTTAGTATTACGTTACCATAACTTTAATCATGGTTATTTGTTCGTTTTCTGTTTTGGAAACAACAAGTGGATAAAACAAAAAGATACATTTCAACAAAAAATCTTCAGTGACAGTTGACAGAGAAAAAGGATACAATTGGATCGGTAATCTGACGATCGCATTAATGACATCGAATCAATCTTGACCCATCACATTTATTTTGTAAAAAAAAAAAAACAAATGGTCGTTTCAACATGGAACACAACGCCAACTTTTGTGACATTACGTGATAAATAAAAGAGAAGTTTTCAAATGATAAATTGAAGTTACAACATCTTTTGCTTAAAAGATCTGGAATTGCTTTTAAACGTCGATGTGAGCTAAAGTAAAATAAATAGTTGTCATGCTGAAAGATCGAAAGAAATTGTTTTGAAAATACGTATTGATGATAAAACAATTTTATAGAGCATCTATTACTGAAAGACTCTGTACGTTACAACACCGTGTATATAACGATACCTCTGTACTTATCAACATTTTTTTATATTAAACCTTAATGTATGCATATGAGTACTTAATTATGTAGGTGTAATGCCATTTTGAAACTGACACAATACATAAAACATTCAAGTGTTTTGTTTGCTGTAATAATTTGATGATACACATCGTAAATGACATGAAATTGCCCTGTATTAAGTGAAAAATAATCATGAAAACATCGAAGCTTTTAACAAAATTATCATTTATGGAACATATACATCATGTTGTACTATATTCTGTGCAACCATATTTTTTGACGTGACAACGTCTTATAATTCGATGGAGCCGGCTGCACGCACGAAAAAACATGACTCATGCGGCGTTACCTCGCTCTGAGGCGTTCCATTTAAGGCTTGAAGTGCAAGCGAGAGCGCGGAACGAGCGACAAAGAGGCACAATCGGCTTCCGCGTTCGACAGCGTTCGACATCTGTCTCTCTCCTACTTGAGTGAGCGATGCGTCCGCGTGGACAGCTGCTGTACAATAATACATTTCCATTTACCTCCTTCTCTATATCCATACAAAATATCTATCAAACAAATAAAATTAAAATTTTCTTTTGAAAAATGAAACCATTCCATCAGTATTTTCTTATGACGTTGTCACGTTCAACTATCGTCAGTAAACCGACTTTACAGACAACCGATTTTTTTTTGTGATGATCTGATAACATGTTGCTCTTTGACTTTTAAAAATATGAAAAGTATATTTTATTTAAATCGTAGTGCCTACTGTAATTGTCTAGACATTTTTATAAGTATAAAGTTATTTAACGAGAAATCCTACAACGTTTCTAAAATCATTGGTAAATCGTAGCAAGGAAGGGCAAGGGGGAAATGTTATAAATAGACAATTCCGTAAATATTACAATGAAAAAATTCTCAGGTAGGCATTCAATGTCCTTTCGGGATGTCCTTACAGGCTCCTTCAATATTTATGAATAGAAAATTAGACGAAGAAGAAGAGAAGTAAATTTAACAAATGACCTGCTTACAAATTCATGCCAAACCGTCGAATATTTCCCTACCATTCAAAATCAATAAAAAACTGTATTGGGACACAGTATTAGTTTGAATGGATAAATAAATTGAATCAATTTGTGCAGAAGTTTCTGTGGTCCATTTAAATAGAAAGTTAAAAAAGAACTTTGCATCTCCATAATAGGAATATTGAAATCGAAAACACAACAAATAATACAGCATTTGTGTAATAAATAATAAGTAATTAATAATGGGAGCTGTCTGTATTGCTATTTTAGTAACAGTAGAATTTTTTATCGAAAGACTCAACTTCCGGGAAAGTTTTCAAAGATTTTCATCATTTGACTTCACACCCGAATACCTTTTAAAAGTTCTAATGACATCTTTTGAAATAATTCCTTTTATTAATAGTATCAATAAGTATTGTAAATTGAAGAACTAACTTTAATTGAAATTTGAATTTTATTTTTTCATCGAAATAGAAATGTAGACAAAGTTATGCACTCTGGCAATTCATCTAGTTCATGAAACTTTTGTTATTGCTTGGTATCTTTAAATTATCAGAAGAAGACTCTGCTTCTATTTTCATTTCAGATTGCCTATACATGACTTCAGAAGAAGGAAATTTCTTTTACAAATCACTTAACAACGAAGAGACTGTGTGTGGAATTTACATGTTCACTGAACCTGACCAGAGAATAGAAATCCATTTCAATTATTTCGACGTTCCTTGCGAAATTGGCGGACTTGTTGCAGTAAGTTTTCTTTCTATTTTCTCCTAATAATTAGGAAAGGAAGTCATAGAATCACCGAAACTCTCACATGTGTACAATTTTGTTGGGTCATAATGGTTTTATTTTCTGAACAAGTGCGTTTTAATGTTTTTTCATTCTTTACGAAAAATACGTGTAACAGACATTCAATTTGCAGGCGATAGCAAATGTTTTGAGGATATCGAAAGTAAAAAAGCCTTTACAATTACATAGTTTCAAAAAAGGTATAATAAGTAAAATACTTTTTGAACCAAATAATAAGGGTTTTTCTCTTTTCAACAACATCATCAACTTTAATCATCAATAATAGTTTGTTTGTCGTCTCAAAAATAGACGGTTCATCCAAAGTATTTAAAATTATTACAGTATAATTATTTTTTTACATCTTAGCCTGTTTTATATTAGAGATACAATGGCAGTTCGAAATAAACGTGGTTGATTTTAGTTTCCTTCGTGTATGTTCCCTTAATGCATCGGTTGATATTAATTGATTTCATTACAGAACTAAAATTGCAAACGTCAATACCAGTGCATTACAGCCACAGAATCCAAATGGCCTTGCACACACGTACATGTACATATGTAGATAAATCAGACGTCTGTCCTTACGTTTAATTAGAATCAGATTGTCGTTTAATTTTTAAACCATTTTCAAAAACACACTCGTCAACTAAAGTAAGAAAATGGGAAAATTAAATTCACTGGACATGAATATTCAACGTTCGTATCGTTTAGAAAATTTTAAAATAGTCAAAGGGAAAACAAGTGACGATGAAACAAATTTAAAGATAATGTCTTGATTGAAACGTTTGAATTTTCGTACAATTTCAGTGAGAAAATTTATCGCGAAAACGATACATATTTATAGACTCATCTAAATAAACGGCGGGTTTGATACATGCATCTATTCCATTATTAATGGTATTTTGTGACAAATGTTGTTACAGTTTAGCATTCCGGAATTGACAAAGAGGCGCTAGGCGTGTGCTTTTGTTATTTTACCAGCGAAATGGGCGAATCGTGGATAGATAAACGGATTAGTTTTTGGAGCCATTCGTTCAGTTTGACACCACAAAATTTATGCCAATACAAGGTGTAGAGCATACAGAGTACATTAAAGCACAAACAAAATCAGAAAATTTGTTTCTACAGGATAGATTTAAACAAATTTCTGCTGATCTACATTTTGGGAAAAAGATTTTTGTTTGGCTATAGCAGTTTTAAATCTGCAAAAGCCTAAATCTCGGGGCCTAATGAGAACTCTTCATAAGCTCGCCATACACCCTCGTGCGTCTTATTCTAAAAATGTACCCCTGTTACATAATAACTACGTATCTGGTTTAATCTTTTCAAATGGAAAAAACAATTCCCTTTTAAGGGTCAGTTTGTACTTCTGTTTTGGACCATTGTTTGTGAATGACAATTTTGTAATTGTCTTTCATATTTATAGTTTGTTGAGAATTACACATCAACAGATACTTTAGTTCAGTCATTTCCTATAATGTGTGAAATAAACATGCAGGGATATCGTGTGGATACCACACTGACCATAAACAATTACATTTAGGAAGGCCATGTATTTTACCCTCTATTTTGTTAATGTAACTGGCACCCACACACTAATGGTTTCATATGTAGATAATTAAATGTGCCGGATTCAACGTATTACACGTTCATTAATGTTGCATTGCATTTTATGAATTAAAATTTTATACCATGGATTCAGGCTGATTTTACGAAGCCATTTGAATCCCATATTCACAGGCGTACCTATCAGAATAGTCATTTTTCAAAAGTTTGACGTATTCCATCTTGGTATTTAATAAATGGTTGTGTGTCGATAGCTATAAGGGTGTGGAAGATACGAGGGTTGAAAGTGAATGATTAAGGCACCTAGGACATTTTCATTTTTCGAAAAATGTGTTGTAAAAAATATGTGACCCGAAAAGTCGAGAATGTTCTGGGATGTACGAGAACCATTATGTATGAGTGGTAGTAATGTTTTTTAAAATTACTGTTTAAATAATTGTCTAACATACATACACGGTATTGTTTTAAACTTGGTTCTGTTAAAATTAAGACGAAAATTATGTAAAATGAGAGAAATTGTACATATTCAAGCAGGACATTGTACAGAAGGAGCAGAATTACTAGATTCTGTTCTAGACGTTGTTCGCAAAGAGGCAGAAAAATGCAAGGGACTAGATCCGGCTCGAAGGACCAAAAATGTTGTGGCTTTGGTTTGACGATAAATATATGTATGCACTTTTGGAATGGCACGTAAAGCCTCGATAAAGATAAATACTCGATATGTTTAAGGATATTTATTAACATTAAACGACCGAATTCAAAGCACAACACTTAAACCATTAGACTAATTGACTTCAGCAGTCCTTTAGAATAAGTGAAACTGTATCTACTTGAATGTTCAACGAATATTTAGGATTATCTTCAAGTGGACAGAATGCTCTGAAGTGTATAAGTCGTGGAGTCGGATTTTGACTAATACTTTTACAGTCTTATGTGCATTGAATGTAAATCCAGTTGATTAATAAAATAAAACAGAAACCAGTAAGTGGTATAATAAAATAAAAAAAGTTTCTTATAGTTTATAGACGGATGGGAGATGAATGGAGAAATCTTTCCCAGTAAAATGGACGATTCTCGACCAATGAGGCAGCGATTTGCTGAGTTCTGCGGAGAAAAGAAAATCAAACAGATCTTCGTCAGTTCTCAGAACGTAGCCTTTTTGCAATATAGAATTCCGGGACCTGGAAAGGGTTTTAGCTTTACAACCCGATTTATAAAAAATCCTGCCCGTAAGTACTGTAGAATTATTGAAAAATTTACATCGTTTACATTAACTATTGCAAAAACTAATGGAAAGATTAAACACAAAATTAAAAAAAGATGAAACTTTTGAAAATATTAATTATTCTCCTGCTAGAGTAAAAAGATTTTGATTAAACTTTGAAAATTCCAAACTTATATTTTACCATTCGAAGCCAATTAAATCATTTAACTTTAACATCAGAATACTGAATGTGAGATATATTTTTTTTTGGCAGGATTTGAAGTCAAGTGATTTAATCAAAAGAAATGTATAAAATAATTCGAAGTGGTTTGTATTCTGTCGAAACTGTCAGACGCGGATCGCGATTTCGATCTTTTTGGATCTCATCAGCGCGTCGCAGACAGCTCCGGCAGAACACAGACCAACTTTTACTTGCTGTCTTAACAGCGCGTTTTAGAAAGAAATGTAGTAAGAAAATTTCGGGTCAGGTTACTTTATCCTTTTTCATAGAAGACCCTATCATCCTAATTCATGAGCATTATGAGTTGCTATATCTTGTTTTTAGCCTGCAATATATTCCTTCAAGACGAAGAGGATGTAATAACCCTCCGAAACTACGGAAATAGAACCAATTGCAGCGTAAGTGCAATGTTTCCGGCTGAAATCCATATTCTGGCGTTAAGTGTGGGAGTTGTTCCAACGACTGGTCGACGATATTCGTTTGAAACTGGGAGTTTATATAAGGTACGTTACGTTCTTTCGATTTTTTTAGTTAACATATTATTTAGATAACTTTAGTATATAAATACTTAACATTTGTTTAATATTTTAGTGTAAAAAGCGAGGACTAAGTGATTATGTTGAAATTGGGGGTTCATCGGGACTAGATAACTCGAACCTTTATCTAGCAGATTCAGTCTGCGGAATGGATTCGAAACCAGGTAATAAATGCCTTTTTATTCTAACAAGAACTAGTCTAAACTTTCCGTTTATAGTGTCAGTCCGCTTATAACGAAATTTTTTTATAATTTTAAATGGTTTTGTAAGTTAACCCGTTCGGTACTAGGCTTAGTACCTACATAAAATCTTCTGCTATAGCGATGAACACGGTTTTAGCGACGCATATAACATTTTAAATTCGGATATAATGACAGTGAGGTACTTAAAGCGAATTTTTGTCGAATGTTGTGTGCTATGTTTAATAAAACACTTTCTTGAGTGGTAGTTTCCTTAATGACCATCAAATCTGATTATTGACACTTTGGTACGCTACCAAAATATTACAATACATCCGGAAAAAGCAGCTATTAATTATTATTAATATTAATATCCTTCCCAATCGATACTACTGAATTACAATTTTAATCTCGAACTATTCGGGTCATCATCATAAGGTCGTCAGTCATAAGACTGGTTGGACACGTACCTCCACTCTTTCCTATCCTGAGCTAAACTTCGCATTTCCCTAAAACTAGAACAGCCCACATCCTTAACTATTTGGGAACAGTAATCTAATCTAGGTCTACCTCTACCCCTCCTAACTCCTGTTTCTGCCTCTAATATGTCTCTGACTAGACCTTCATGCCTGAGAAGGTGTCCTACCAACCTATCTCGCCTATTTTTTATTGACTTTCATAGAGTCCTCTGTTCTCCTATTCTTTCTAATATACCTTTTCATTTCTAACATTTTCTACCCACGTTATCCTCATCATTCGCCTATAACACCACATTTCGAACGCTTCTAACCTTTTCTTTTCCGCCGCGCCCACTGTCCATGTTTCGCACCCGTACAATGCCGTGCTCCAAACATACACCTTTAACAACCTTTTTCGAATTTCTAAATTAACCGTTCGCGAGCATAGAAGTGACTTCTTTTTATTAAAGGCGACACCGCTATCCTCTGCTTTATATCCCTATAACCTTTATATTACTATTCGGGTAAATAATATTTATTAATTGCAAAGTTCCAACGTTTCGTTTACTGATTTTGAGCTTCCTCAGGGAATTTTACGAGTCTTCAACTTGGAACTTTACAATAATTAATAAATATCATTTACTTGAATAATTCAATTAAATTGTTAAAATGCGTTGTTTGGTACCAATATAAAGTTATAATAATTTTATGAATTGCCTTGTATTTTAGCTAAATTTTCGGAAATGATTGGATGTGGAACCACTACAGTCCGATTGGTTTCAAGTGGCATTTTCGACAATTCTGTCACCGTGGCATTGAGGAGATTAGACGAAGAGCGAATAAGTAACGGATTTTTCAGTGTTTTGTGTCCAATGGAAGAAAATAAAAAATAGGTAAGTACGTAAAGGCGCCTGAAAAAGAAAAATAATTAAGTAAAAAGTCTTTTTATTTGCAATCAACTATTAAGTATTCATTACTTTTCTTGTTTAAGGTGGTTAACATTAGATGCCCTCCACTACCATCTCAATTAGAAAAAGGAACATTAATTGTGTTCTGTTTTTGATTTAATTTATTGTAACAATAGGCGTTTTAATATCCCAGTTAATAATTCAATAAAGACATTCTTCCTTCTCGTGTTTTTACAGTTAAAGTGGAGATTTTGTTTTATTTTCGTTTTTCGATATTCATATTTTTTCTAAAAACAGTAAAAATCAAAACACTAGGATGCTAACCAAAATGCTTTTAATTGTATCGTTTCGAACACATTAAATTTCTTCAGTTATTGTAAAAAATAGTAAAATTGAAATTATGTACAGTTCAGGTAACAAATACGTCATATTTTTACAGAAAAATTATTTGCTATAGCTGCAAAATCATTAGGTAACAAAAACGTAAATTAGAAAACTTTTTCTTTATCTGCTGATGTTCTTTTTAATCGTAAGAATAAGGAAACTCGTTAGTAAATGTTCCTGGTATACAGGAAATACTTTAAATCCAAAAATGAAGTTATTTTTACATTTTATCCTCTTACATTAATTTGCCCCACTTATCCCGCGTGGAAAAGAAAATTGGCTTACATCAGTAAGTAAAAGTGACGAATAGAAAGTTTTATTACACAAAAAATTGCTTATCTGTTTAAAACAGAAGCTAACCTTTTATATTTTATGACCTTTACCATGAAAAATTAGGACCAGTACCAATTCAAAAACTTTTTAATGAATTTCAGGATTATGTCTCATTAAAACTTCAAATTAGAAACATAAAAGGGTTTATTTTTGTACATTACTGTAATATACAATAAGAATTTTACATTGTCCTTATAGAAATTGAAAACGCAGTCTTATGTTAATTATTATGCAAAATTAGGAGATTTTCATTTTCGTTTTTCACAAAATTGGAAAGTTTCGCATCTATTTTTGTCGTTATTTGGATCTAACCGAATAAATATCAACATTCAAATTTTCTTGTATAATCATCACAATTAATTTAAAATGCCTATTGTATTAATTATTATATATTAATTTAAAATAGAAATAAGAAATTAGTTATGCNGTTCAGTCTAGAGATTGATACCATATTTAGTTTATGGAAGTTTTAATTTTAATATTACCATTTCCCTCATGTTAATTCTAATATAAGGGATGATTGTAGTGGCACTTAGAGTGCGAGAAAACGGCCGATTTTTGGCCACTGGAGACATATAATTTTTCCACTGCCTACTTCGAATACTTTCCGTACTTCTCTACATTGATAGCGCCACCAGTCCTTTTTACTTGACTTTACTTCGACTAAGCCTTTCTAATGTAACAAACTGGAAAATTCCGCGTGTATTAAACAGTATCGGACGTTAATACGTTCACAGTAATCCATTTTGAATAATCCTAGTTTTCCGGCTCCAGCAACGAAATATATAGTGAAATCAATGAAACAATATTTGATTTGTGAAAGGTTGTGCAAACAGTATTTATTATAAAAAATTATTATTAAGAAAGACAGTATTTGTTGTTATTGAATGAGATAATGTTACCAATGGATAGAGCGGTATTGTGGATTATTGTATCTATTGGAATTTTGCGGTGAGTCTTGGACATTTTAGAATAACTATTTTCAAAATTGCAATATTTTATGTGTAACTTTTATCTAATAATAGGAAAAATGTACATAAAATTCCTTTTACAGATCTGCCCAAAATTATATCTAGCTATAGTTGGTGCATTTTGTACCGGAAAATGTTCATATCTTTATTCTTTAGCTTTCAGAAATAATGCAAGTCTGTTTAGCAGCCTTTCACCATATAAAACATGAATTAGTTATGCTTCACTGTAATTGAAGCACACATTGGGTTGCCTACCTGTCATAAAATTAATTCTGTTATTTATGAGCTTTAATCAAGGATATATAGAAACTGAGCCACGGTATTCAGTAACATTTTTTGTTGAAAAAGATTAATAAAGTTCAAAATTACAGGAGTTTATTGAGTTAGATAATTAATATGAAGAAACTAAGCGAATTACTTCCTTTTCTAACGCTTTCCGTTTTAATAAAAATAGGTTTTAGTGGCGTTGGCTGAATTGCACTATTCCGAGATTGTTTGCGAAGTTACTGAATATCCTGAGCTTTTTTATAAATTCAGATTTTGTTATCTATGTTTGAAATAACAAGAAGATGAGTCATTTTAACTCTGTTAACGAGTCGAAGCTTCTAGAACAAAAAAGAAATACAGTTACATTTACACACGTACGATAAATATGTTGTGAAAAATATTACAATTCCTTCGATCAATGCGGGACTTATTAAAAGTAAGTATCATGTAAAACTTGTAAATAATAATTACATGTTCATTTATTCGTATTAAACTGTTACAATTACTATAATTATACACAAAGTAGTAATTGAAATTTACGAATAATTATTGTCGATTTAAGTTAAATTCCTGACCGTTGCTGTTAAATTGTGTAGTTTTTTTCCAGGGTGACGGCCAAATAATTAATAAATATTATTAAATAAATATTAAATTATTTGACCGCCACCCTGGAAAAAACTAGATAATTTATTTATTGTAATTCGTAAGTAATTTCTTTTTCTTGAGGCCTTCGAAATTGATTTGTGATTGTACAGTACGAATTTCAGACTTTGAATTCTGCCATTTCTTACGCTTCTTAAACAATAATTGCAAGTTATTGTTTGATGTTACAAAGTAAATTATCCTTTTTGTTTAATCAGCTTCAAAGTCCTTTTCGTATTGTTGCATGGTACAGTCAATAACTTTAAAAGGGTTTAATATAATGCAAGAAAACAGGGAGCGAAATCAGATAAAAGAGAGAATATACAAGGTGTTCCATTAGAAAAATACAATTCAATAGTTTTTTACCTAAATCTTATTAAATGCGAAAACTTTGATTATCCTTTTCCCTTCGAGTGTTCACTCTCTCTATATTGGAAAGCTAGGATATATAGTCGATATATAGACTGATTTTAAGTTACAGGAAGAAAAACATTCTTATATCGTACGTTGTAGAAAACATAAATTCAAACTAAATAACAAAATTTTTTATGATAGCGTTTCTAGTAAATTTTATAATGCATGACGATATGCTCAAGTTTTCTTGTTCTAAAGGAATAAGTTTAAGGGAATTGAAAATTTTCATTAAATGTGACTGCAAAAATAGCCCATTTTCTCCATCTCCAATTTTGTGTTACGCTTACCTATATAAAGAAATTAAACACATGTTTAAAAGGGTGAAAACTATTCCTTTACTATGAATAAGCCATAAATCTGTTATAAAAACAGTCGATTACCGGATGAAAAACTACCCTCATCTTGGATTATAAACTTATACGTTTGGGAAAAAATGGATATAAGTACCTATCAAATGTCTAATTTTGATTGCAATGTGGAATGATGTATTATTGATGGAATTTCAATGCATAAGCAATAAATGTTTTTTCCCTGAGTCAAGTTCACGATTCAAGACATGGGGTAGATGTTTACCGTGTATACAACGGGGTTTTAGTACACTAATGTTAACTCGTAACTGACTTATGGTTTAATTATATTAGTAAAACTTGAGGAGTTTAAAATTTGTTTTCAATTACTGGGTATTGGTACAGTATAATAATGTATAAGGGTAGTTGCAACCCTTTTACAGATGTGTTCCGCTGTTCAGTCTAGAGATTGATACCATATTTAGTTTATGGAAGTTTTAATTTTAATATTACCATTTCCCTCATGTTAATTCTAATATAAGGGATGATTGTAGTGGCACTTAGAGTGCGAGAAAACGGCCGATTTTTGGCCACTGGAGACATATAATTTTTCCACTGCCTACTTCGAATACTTTCCGTACTTCTCTACATTGATAGCGCCACCAGTCCTTTTTACTTGACTTTACTTCGACTAAGCCTTTCTAATGTAACAAACTGGAAAATTCCGCGTGTATTAAACAGTATCGGACGTTAATACGTTCACAGTAATCCATTTTGAATAATCCTAGTTTTCCGGCTCCAGCAACGAAATATATAGTGAAATCAATGAAACAATATTTGATTTGTGAAAGGTTGTGCAAACAGTATTTATTATAAAAAATTATTATTAAGAAAGACAGTATTTGTTGTTATTGAATGAGATAATGTTACCAATGGATAGAGCGGTATTGTGGATTATTGTATCTATTGGAATTTTGCGGTGAGTCTTGGACATTTTAGAATAACTATTTTCAAAATTGCAATATTTTATGTGTAACTTTTATCTAATAATAGGAAAAATGTACATAAAATTCCTTTTACAGATCTGCCCAAAATTATATCTAGCTATAGTTGGTGCATTTTGTACCGGAAAATGTTCATATCTTTATTCTTTAGCTTTCAGAAATAATGCAAGTCTGTTTAGCAGCCTTTCACCATATAAAACATGCAGAAAAATATTCAATTGTTTCATTGTTTTAGTAAAAAAAAAACACAGTCGTTCCTAGCAGTTTTTCAACCATTTAAAGCACACAAAAAAATGTTAAAATCGTTTATTTTTTTAGCTTTAAAATGAAATGCAAGGGTTTTTCACCGTATAAAGCATGCAGAAGAAAGCTCAGTTTTATTTTTTTTTAGTTTTAACTGTTTGCACCACCACCAGTTCAATAGAATAGCAGATGATCGTAGACTTTTTTTTTAATATTGCAGTAGGAACGTATTTTTTTAAGGTTTTACATTAATTATGTTACATTCTTATTAACCGACGAAAACAAGGAGGAGGTTCTCAAGTAGACGCGTATATTTTTTTTATGTATCACCACGCATAACTTTTTACAGAGTAGTCTGATTTTGATAATTCTTTATTTATTGGGAAAGATATACCCCAAAGTTGGTCTCATATAAATTTTGAAAAAAAATTCTGACCCTAAGGGTAGGAAAACAGGGGATGATTGTTGTTTTTTGTTCACTCACTGATTGTAATGTATGACCACGCACAACTTTTGATAGAATAGTCCGATTTTGATAATTCTTTTTTTATTGGAAAGGGTATACCCAGATGAACTTGGAAAAAAGAAACATAACCCTAAGGGTAGGAAAACAGGGTACGATTTATAGTAGGAAAATAATAGTAATAGTAGTAGTAGTAGTAATTAGTAGATTATAG